GTTATTTTAAAGATTTGTTTGTTTTTGTTTTTGTTTTGTTTTTTTTAACAGTTGCACTTGTAAACAATATGTGCCTATGTTGAAGAGTAACTGCACTCAAACACTTTTGGTCACTGCTGTTTTACAATGAGCTTGTGTAAGATAGGACAGTCCTGGTCTTTTCTCAATATTTAAGTGCAGATGTGTATATTTGTTATTTTGGTTGTAAATCTTGCTTTTTTTAAGGATGAAGCCAATGCTTTTCATGAATGCCACTCAGTGTTCACCACTTTGGGTACTTTCTGTAGTTTGGAGTTGGTGGAGTATGTCGGGGGAGTTAATTCAGCAATCAAAGAAAGATTGAGATTTGGAACGAAGGGCGTTTCGAATGAACTATCATTGATATGATTCTTATGAACCTAATCACTTTCTTTGCGCTAAGAACTCTGGTAGCCAAAACTGAGGGAATAATAAAAATAGTTACAAGTGTGTAACAGTTACAAATGTGAAACTTATTCTCCGCCTACGTAGCAATCACTGCACCCTCAATTTCTTTTGCATTTCTCTTCAAAGGGCCAGAGAAGGTCTGAAACTGGAGTTTGCAGTTATGCCTTTAGTATGTGCCTAATGTTTTTTTTGTTTGTTTTTTAACAAGTGTGGCATTCTCTGTGCAATCCTTGAGTGCAAGGTGTTGCTCTATGTACAGCGCATAGTTTGTTAAACAAATGCTTTGAATGTCATAAAGAAATCCAGACAAACTTTCTTGATTCATCGAGTGTGTGGTGTTTCCGCCTTGTGTTATTCTATGTAATACACTAACGCTGGTGTACTTGGGCCACAGCCTGACTATATTACAAAAGAATACTTCATTTTTTTCAAAAAAATTTTGAATTTATTCATTTAATCATTAAAATGTAAACAAATTCATTCAGATTCAGAAAGTCAGATTGTTCACAGTGGTGGTGATAGGAACCAGACCTCTGAAGATCAGTTTGTCTCTGTAGAAAGAAGCATTTCAAATCAAACTAACTCTGAATCAAACGCTCCAAATGGCATTGTTTGAATTATGCAGAAATTTTGAAAAATTGGTAGAATCCCCTTTTAGGGGCAGGGGTGCAATCGCATTGTGGTGCCCAAAGTGAGAAGACTCCCTAAAATCTTTACTGGGCCCCTCTTATAGATACTGACACAACTGTAGCCTCATGATTCATAGAAACATCTAGTTGCCTAACAATATATCAGTTAACTTCAACACTACACAGACAGACCTGATTTATCTCCTCTATTTATCTGTTTATCTCCATCTTATTCATAATGCATCCCAACCAGTAACTATTTTCAGATCCTTTATATAATATTATCAGTATTTATCATTTTATAATCTTAAATATGTTGTGTAATGTAAACATTTATGTTAATATTAGATGCTATGGGTGGAGTGGCATGCCTTAAGCGCATCAATTTGAGACATAACAACAGCTATTAACCAAGCGAATTACGTTGTCTTTTTTATGTAAGTGATTTTTTAAATGAGAGGGCCCATTTTGGGGTCTATATGATCACAGTTACACCACTGTACAGAATGTCAGCTTTATACATGAACCACAGCCCTTTTTTATACATTTCAGGAGACGGTTCACTGCTCAGTTGTTTTTTGGTCAGCATCATGAGTTCATGTAAAAAAGAGCAAAGAAAAGGTCTAAAGTTAGTTATATTTCGAGCCATTTGTTCTTGGGCAGGACTCCTATGTTACATTCACCCATCACTGTCATATGATTAAATTGTAAGTTGCTCTGGATCAGGGGACCAGATTCACAAAAGTGTCTTAAGAAAGAAATTCTTCTTAAATGTGTGTTTTTTCTTAACTTCATCCTTAAGAAAAAAGTTACAAAAAAAGTTCTTCTTTAATACAAATTTAAAATGTACCTTGTGTCATTTATAGTATGGGGTAAAATGCAACGTAGCCTACATAAGAAAACACTGAAGATTTTCTTGGGAAAATCTTAAGAAAATAATCAAGATTATCTTAAGAGAATATTTGAGAACTTCTTGTGTTTTTTTTTTTGTTTTTGAGAATTGCATTTAAGAACATTGCTATAAACTTAGTGTTTGTCTTAAGAACCTTCTCAGGTTTTTTCTTAAGAAAGTTTCTGTAAATCCAGCCCACGGGTTCTAGTGAATGTGTCTGTTGCCTGTTCACGTGAACTAAAAGCAAGCCAACATGAAAACATGCTAATGTGGTAGCAGAGACTTGGGTGAATTTAGCTGCTAGCACCTTAAAAGAATAATTCGGTGAAAAATCTAATGTAGTAATGATGTACTTGGAGTCCAAATTTTGCTTATTTACAATTGGAACTGGAGCTACATGCTAATGTTGCTAACAAACACGTGAACTCAATAATCACTCATATTGCCCAAATCGGTTCTGTAATATCATCACAACTTCCCTCAGTCTGCAAAAACCACCTTCATTAAGATTACGCAGACTTGTTGATGTGGTTTAGGACACAGTATGACTTATTGTGAGCTCTAAAAATGAACACAACTTCACCGCTAAAGGCAGCCATTTCAGGCAATCACACGGGACTGATCTTGGATCAGATTCCTCCATATTTATGATCGTCATTGTCACAACACTGAGTCTAGATCAGCACTGCTACTCCTGAGGTGGTTTGTGAATATAGACCCTGATGTGTGACGTGGCTGCCTACAGTTTTGTTCATTTTCATAGTTATACTGTCAAACTGTGTCCTAAACCACATCGACAAGCCTGTGTGACTATTGAGTTCTAGTGTTTGTTAGTAATGTTAGCCTGGCCACTCCAGTTCTAAATAAAAGAAGCACCAAGCTCCAAACGTGTTTCAGCTGATAGACCACACCTGGGGTGAGAGGAAAATTGTGCATTTTTTTTTTCTTGAATCATTCCTTCAAGTGCTCAGATCCCACAAAAAACCCACTGCAAGTTGCTTTGCTTGAATCTCTGTCGAATATGCTGCTAAAAAACTACATAGATTTTCAGGGCCAAAACATTCTTGACTTGCCATGAAAATTGCCTGAACTGGACTCCGCTGAGTAGGCGTTTCATTTACTGAGAACAAGACTGAGGGCAGTAACCTGCTAAAATAAGCAGAACTGCAACTGGAAATGTCCAAACTGTAGGCAGAGCATTAGCAGGGAAAATACCCAGTACCTGGTAAGTCACAGACCTCAGATACTCATCGACTACAGTGGATTTGCAGCCTAATACTAAACATGACAGTCTTATTTAGGATTATGTTAATTTGTCCAATTTCTTCTATAAAAAGTGCTGTGATTTCTATACGGCTCCCCCAATATGAAATACAAGTTTTCAATTAAATTTCAATTTGGAGTGCAATACTGTTATTCCTGTAATGAAACTGGACCCAGAAGTCATGTTTTGAACAGCTGGTTATAAAATAAAAAAATATATATTATCATACCAGCATTTGTCATCAATAATATTATATTTGGAATCCTCATTGTAAACATTTAGGACTATTTTTCAGAATATTTAATATTTGATATTGAATATTTAATTGATTCTAACAAAATTCTTCATTCATAGTTGCAGATTTTAAAATCCATGAGACATGACAATAATCTTCAAGGAATTCTTTTTTCTACAATTCTTTGAAGCTTCTGAAATTTTAACCTGCTTAACTTGTTTTCTAAATATAATTTAGTATTACCCATTTTATTATTTTTTTTAATTGTGTTTATTTCTCTATGGTGAATTGGCTCATTCTCACTGACTTGAATTTCTTTACAGTGGTGGTGATACGAACCAGGGTCACAATGTTTACAGCACAAATAGAACCATTTTATTTGTTTTCCGAAACAACCAATGAGACAACATGTCTCCTGAGTTTTATATATACTGCTGAAAATAATAAAATGGTGGTAAATCTTGGAAAAAGGTTTGCCTTGGGGACACCCTGCATGCACCCCTCTACTATGAATGGATTTTAAAAATTACATTTTGAGCTAAAATCTTATCTTAGAACTATTATAAAGCAACATAACAGGCATGGCAGTGTATTCATACCCATTTCATTCAATCAGGGAGCTTTTAGAGGCATTAACTCTTGCGCTGTGTAGTTACCGCAGCTGTGAAAAAATCTAGTTTGTCTAGAATGACGCATTTAACATCAAACCACTCTAAATGACTGTGTTTACATTGTAATCATGCAGAAATTTGGAAAAATCTGTGTAATTCCCCTTTAATTGGTCTGTATTGCCTTGCCTGTTGTACATGTATCCAGCATACACCAATCAGCCATAACATTAAAACCATTTTACCAAATGTTTGGAGTCTTTGAACACCTCAGTGTCACTGCTGGACTGAGAACAGTCCACCAACCAACAATATCCCGCCAACAGCTGTGGGCAGCGTCCTGTGATCACTGATGAAGGACTAGAGGATGACCAACACAAACTGTGCAGCAACAGATGAGCTATTGTCTCTGATTTTACATCTCTAAGGTGGACCAGCAAGGTAGGAGTGTCTAACAGAGTGGACAGTGAGTGGACACAGTATTTAAAAACTCCAGCACTGCTATGTCTAATCCACTCGTACCAGCACAACACACCACCACCACGTCAGTGTCACTGCAGTGCTGAGGAACCCGCCACCCAAATAATACCTACTCTGTGGTGGTCCTGTGGGCGTCCTGACCATTGAAGAATAGGGTTAAAGAAGGCTAACATAGGATACAGGGAAACAGATGAACTACAATCTGTAGTTGAAGAACTACAAAATGCACCTGTAAGGTAAGTGGAGCAGATAAAATGGACAACGAGTGTAGAAACACAGAGATAGTTTTAATGTTATGGCTGATTGATTTATACGTTATAAAAGAAAGAAAGAAAGAAAGAAGAAAGAAAGAAAGTAAGTAGCTAAGTAAATAAGTAAGAGCTGGTACTGCCCTCCCCCTCATTATGTGTTGAGTTGGCGCCCTCTGGCGGTGAGGCGGTTTGAGCCGCCCACTCCGCTCCCTCTGCAGCTCCACACTGTCGGGATGTGACCCCGGAACAGGACGCTTCCTTAGAAACAACTCCACATTCAAATAAAACACAGGCGAAGAAAACAGAGAAAAAACCCTGGACCAGGAGAGGTGAGTGAGAGAAGTGAAGGCGTCTGAGTGAGCTTTTTTAAAAACGACTCCTCCGGTTCAGCTCTCCCTCCATTTAAATTAGCTGCTTTAGCTAGCGTTAGCCTTAGCGCCTGGATTGTGGGAACTTCATTCAGGGCTTTGTTAGAAACCCCGGCGCCCAGAACTGCTTTGTAAATGGTACTTTCTTCCTTTTCTCACAGGCTTTTAAAGTTTTCTCTCTAAGCTTGTTTCCCGCCGTACAAATGAAGGTTTCACTGCTGTCACAGTCGGTCCGTGTTTTATTTAAAAAGAGCTTTATATGGGCGAGTTTGGGTGGCTGCAGAGGCTGAAGCTGCTCCTGGCTCTCCAGCCTGTGCTAGCCCACAGCTCAGCTAGCTGCTGCTGGAGCCCACCTGAGCTTACAGTAGCATTGTTTTTACCTGTTAACTTCTGTTTTTTAATCTCCTTTGTTTGTCCACATAGCTGTGTTGTTCTTATACACGTAGTCGTTTATTACAGGAGCTTTTTCTCTCCTGTAAGGTCTGCTCTCCATTGCCAGCCTGTTTAAGACAGGTTTTGTTTTGTTTGGCTGGCTTGAACGTAGCAGGCATTACATTAGGCATACCTGGTGTAGATCAGTTGTTATAAGAAATCCTCTTTGTCTTACTTGTGCTTGCACACCAAAGAACCTTGTTTTGTGCCAGAAGGTGAGATGTTCGCAGACCCAAGTGCTCCAAAAATGAGACTGTATGGTGGGCAGTGATTTTACATTGATTGTTAGTCATAAGTTTTAGCACTCTGTATGGATCAAGACTCTGACAGCACAGGGCAACACTTTGAGTCTCTTGCCACATTGTGCCTGAGTGGTGATGATGGTCTATTTTTGGCTCTCCACACCCTTAACTCATTATGAATACAACATGCCTCAGTCCTCCAACTGTCAGCCTACAGTATACTTCACATTCTGCTATGAATCTGATAGCGGTGGGCAGCTTGCCCGTTTTAGGACACTCTCTGGGAGTGTGCCGGTAGTTTTGGGGCTGACTGGGCAGAGCAGAGTGAGCCACTTGTGTGAACTTGGAAATGAAGCTGTAAGTCCTTAGGTCTGCACATTCCCCTGAGTAGGGCTGGGCTATGTGATGATATGTTATCAGTATTGTGATGTGGCGATACTGAGAATATTGTGGGTATCATCAATGCCTCTACATACCTAAAAAAGACGGTTCTTCAAGAGTTTTTAGTAAAGGCAGTGGTTCTATATAGAACCGTGAGTTCTATGTAGACCATTTGGGTGGCGAAATAGTTCTTTAGATTGATAGAGAATGTGTTGTATATGGTTCCATATAGAATCTTTTTGAAAAGGGATCTGCTATTGTTATGATGTCATGCTTGTAACGATAGAAGAACCCTTTTTTGTGCTATATAGAATCATGGTGCTATATACACTCTGAAAAAAAGATGATTTTTCGAGAGTTTGTTAGTGAAGACAGTGGTTCTGTGTTGAGTTCTATATAGAACCATTTGCATGTTCAAATGGTTCTTTTAGATTGATGGAGAATGTGTGGTATATAGTTCCATATAGAACCTTTTGTAAGTGGCTCTATATAGCACCAAAAGTGATCTCCTATTGTTATGACGTCAAGCTTGTAACGATAGAAGAACCCTTTTCGGTACAATTATAGAACCATGGTGCTATATACACTCTTAAAAAGGATGGTTCTTGAAGAACCCCAAGAAATGGTTGAATAAAGAACCGTGTACACTCAAAGAACCCTTTGCATGATTAAAGGGTTCTTTGCATCATGAAATTATTCTTCAGAATGTGTAGATCGTTTCTTTTTGAAATGGGTTCTGTATAGCACTCAAAGAGGTTCTTCTATTGTTACAATATCAAGCTTGTATCAATGGAAGAACCCTTTGCTAAAAGGTTCTATATAGAACCATGTACAGCACATTCTCCATCAGTCTCAAGAACTATTTCACTTTGCAAAGAACCATTTAAGCATGCATGTGGTCCTGTGTAGAGCACATGGTTCTAAATCTCATTGCCTTTACTATAGAAGCCTTGAAGAAGAGTGGTGAGTGTAGAACATTGAACACTTATAGATTAGGGGTGGGCAATATTATATTGTGATACTTGAAGACATTTTCACTGCACATTTCATGGGTTTTCTGACACACAGATGCACTAGCAGTGCCACATTTGAAAACAGCTTTCAAAAAATATTTGTATGATTATTTTTGTTCAATGTTTCAACATACAGTGCCCCTCTGAATCCAGCTAAACAGGACTAAATATGCTCTCCTTGCGGTTGGTCAGTGTTTCAGTACAGAAGATGTCCACTACGTGCACAGAAAAGCATGTTATCACAATCACAAAAAGCGTCTCTGTAACACTAAAACATTGTCGTGCTGCCCACCTCTAGTATAGATGTCAGATGTCAAATCAGCGTTATGTCACAACTTCCAGGTGGCTAACAGCAGCAACATTAGTAAGGCATGGTTTTCCAAGTTACCCAACATATCGTATCAACATATCACAATACTCAGATATCATGTACCTCTAAGTATTCAATGTTTGACAAAGTAAAAGCTGCTAATTAGGGCTGGGTATCAAAATTCAGTTTATTTATGGTACTGACCCGAATTACTTCAGTACTACAGTACTTCAGTACTAGTATTGAGAATATCTGTGTTGTTCGGTACCAAATTTTTAATACCCAGGTAGTCTGTCTTACCTGCGTCCATGAGCCGATAGGCTTGTTTGTTCCAAAATCTGGACTGCTGATTGGCTCTCCACATTACATTCCATACACGTTCAACACTGTAGCTTCTACTGGCTAGTCTGCAATCTGTTAGTCTGTAAGCACACCCAAAAAATATCATTGTCTTCATTGTTTTTCTGACTTGAAATGAGGCTTGCAATTTTTCCCCAACTTGCTTGCAGAATCTCCTAAAAGGAATTGTAATATACAGTTGCATGCAAAAAGTGTCCCTGATCAAATTATATGTTTTGTTGATTTTCTAAGTGACACACTTAATGCTCAGTTACTGTTTATTTACTGAATTTCACATATTGTACAAAAATAAAACAAAATATGCAGAAGTTATGGCGCATTTTATATTTTGTTTAATTTTTTTCAAATATGTTAAACAAGAAATTGTGCACTAAAATTAGCAGAAAAATGATATTTGAATTTCTTGTCTGAAGAGAATATATTAACTTTTTCTCACTAAAAAAACAAAAATTAACAAAACATGTAATTTGACAGAGGGGGTGTTCATACTTATGCATACAGCTGAATATAGAGAAAATATTGTGTATTGTGAAAATGTCTTCATGATGTTATATTTTTGCCCTCTAGAGATGTCATGATAAAATGTATTATTGTGTCATGTCTAGCATGTTAGTTTGTGGGTAGTGTGTTAGCTTGTAACTAAGGCATTATCTTAAGGTTAGAGCATTAAATCAGGACACTATAAAGCACAGCTTTTAGTTTTTATATTTTTTTATAAAACTTTTATAATACTGAATGCTCAAAAAATGTTAATGGCAACATTAACATATTAATGTAACACACAATATTTGTGTATTAATATATTAAAACATATTTGTGTATTAACGTATTAAAAATGTATCAGGACCCCAGTATCGCGTTGAATGGAATTATGAAATTTGTGAATTGTTACAGCCCTGTCGCCTACACTTCCCCCCGAGGGTGGCTGACTCTTTGGGAAACGCAGGTGCAGCTCATGCGAAGGGTTTCGGCCTCCAGGTCCCAAGGGTGGATCATCAGCTGCCCCTGAGCAGCGGGTTTAGGCCTGGCTCAGACCCCCTGCCAGGCTCTAACGCATTTTGTGTGCTGGAGGTTGAGCCCCCCTCTGTGGTGCTCAGACTGCTCCACCCCAATTTCTATCAGTCAGGCACAGCTCGAGTGCTTTTTATGCCTTTAGGGGTGCAGCTTCATGATCAAGGCATGGACGTACCCTGACCCTTTGAGGGGAGTAGCTTATCACAAGCTGAATGTAGGTTAATGTAGGTGTGCATCATTGTGGATGCTATGAGGTTTACACAGATATCCATGTCTACAGCGAATCTTCAGCTTATGTGTTTTTCTTAAATTGCAGTTGGATTGCAGTAATGCACTGATTGGTTGGATTGGATTGCACTGCTAGTCTCCTGATGCGAAACAGAGCCAGCGACTGTATGTGATCCAGTCCTCACAGTAGCCAAGTGGAAAGCAGCTCGCAGCATTTGGCTTGAACCAGAGAGACAGAGGAAAGGTTTTTTGCGGGTATGGAAAGGAAATAATCTTGTTTACCACAGCAGGTTCAGATAAGAAATGCTAGAAATTACCACAGCCCTATTAATTAAAATGAATTTTGCTTCTTTTATTCCAGTTCCTGTTCTATTTCCAATGAAGACTAAGGCCAGACCAGTGTGAAAATTCTACCAATACTGATTCTGTAACCTAAAGCTAACAGCCGATATAATTTTATGTCTTCAAACATAAAAATATAAACAGCCTCAACACTGAACAGTGTTTACAAACAACTTGTCTAATGTTTCCTTGTAGAAACTGTGAAAAGTTTCCACAGGGCCCAGATTCTCATTGTTTATCTGCTGCTGCTCAAACTATTTGAACGTGTCTGTGCCGACCAGAATCTCATTTTCATTGCTATTTAAATGGTTTGGAATATTGATAGATTTTGACACTACATTATAAACCTTTTTAATCTTTGATTTATTTTCCTGTCAAAATATGCAGCCATTTTCAGTGGCCAAAGTTCCCTAATTATCCCTAGTTTTAAATAATAAAGCTCGGGAAGCCTGAAATAATAAAACAATTGTATGATAAGTACCATAGCTTCCCAGCATTGTTTGTGATTCTGTTGTTTTCTTGTAATTATCTTTTATTGTACTTATTTTTCAGTTATCAGCCACTGCCACACAGTCTCAATCTGTTTAGGGTCAACCCATTATTATATATGCTAGGTTCTAGCACTTAAGTGCCTGTTGACACTTTGATATGACTTTCTTCATGTGTCTGTGTTTTTCTAGCTTATTGGAATGGAGAGTTGTGCTTATTATGTGTGGAAGATGTGATTTTTATTCAGGTTGTTGTTGAGCTATTCCTGTCTCTAAACAGCATAGCTTTATTATGTAGCGGAGCTGTAGCTCTCTCAGCCTCGGCTGTGTAATCCCAAGAGAACCAACCCACTGCAGTAGCTTTTGTATTGTAATTCATGACAGGCACTCTGGTGCCAGACAGGCCGTCGTGTGTAGCAGTTACTCCCAATGATTTTTAATTCCAGCATCAAAATAACCTAGGCGCATACCGTACCTCAGGGCTCACTCTAGTATGTCTAACTATTGATCTGTTTATGCCTTGCAGACAAAATATGCGTGATTTGTTGTACATCTTGCGAAGACTAAGTGGTGACTCTGCTTACAAACTCAGCAAAGCCTGTTAAACTTCAGTAGCCACCCTTCCACAAAGTTATTCATTCTAAGTGCTGAAGATCAGAATGAATTTCGAGCATGATCCGGTGGCATGGGTTACCATATTCTTATGAAAAGGTATCCCTTTAGAAAATTAATGTCAGGTATAGTCCAGGGGTTTGTGTAATATTCGCCCAATTAAGTAGGATTTAGTAAATCCCTTTTGTGGGTCATGCTTCACATACTGCTAACAAGTCATGACCTACTTATCAATCATACTTGCACCATCCGCTTCATCACTGTTGTTGCCAAATACTGCAGCCATTGTTTTCATCCTGTAAATATGAAATGGTAGCTTAACTGTAAAATCCATTAGTAAACATGCCACAGTCAGGCCGAAGCTCACCCCAGCTGGTGCTTGCTTTACGTAGCCTTTATTAGTGCTTGTAAGTGAAAGCATGTTTCTCAAACTAGGGCAGATTTTCTGCTGGCTTTATTTGATAGGCTTATGCCCACTTACTTTCTTGAAATATTTTTTTTTCCTCCCTCCTACGTTTTAGGTCTTAACTGCAGACTGACACATGAACAATAAGCGTGCAAGCAGAGAAGCTTTTGACAGCTGGTGGGATACAGCAAAATCCCTTAAGAAATTGAATAGCTATATTGGAAATAATATAATAACTAGAGTCCCACTTGGGCTCGATACGGTACTGGATAATTAACACCTTATTGTGCCAATACCGATGACATAAACTGCTAATTTCAATTGTTAAGGTTAAACTATTTTTTATGTTTTACATTACTTTTTGTAGATATTTTACACTGTTTAGCGCTCTTATCTAAAGCCCATCTCAACAGTATGAGAATAGAACAGGGATATGTAACTGACTACAACAACTAAGTGTTCAAGATCTTCTTTACCTAACAGTGAAACTGATATGAGGCTAAATAATCAAATAATATAATATATTAAATAATCATGTCGTACCCTTGTAGCTAAAAGCTGCATCCTTTTGATAGACTGAAGGTAATTAAGGGAAAAATATCAAACTGATAAAAATATTTACGCAAAAGGAAACTGTCCCCTGCAGGTTCTTTTTTTGGCTCTTGTTTTGACGTTCAGAGAGAAGCTGTGCGTGTCCTCAGTCACTCGTTTTGCTGCAGCCTGAGACAAACCTGAACAGGTTTAGCTGATTCATGTAGGGTGTATAAATCTATACAAAATAACTTTATATCAAACACTGGAATGATTTATAGTAACTGAACCTTCAGCCCTGAATGAGGTTTGTTTTTGGCTAAGAATGTTAATTCGCACTTGATGGCACTCCTTATGAAATATGAATTTGGCTTTGCATTTCCTAAAACAGCTTAATCGACTATGGAAATGCAAAGCGTTTTCTATTTATCGACAAGTAACATATCAGCCATCAATATTTTGTGCATCCTTAGAAATCCAAAATTACATGACGGCTTCATGCCTCATGAAAGGAATGTATCAGTTAAAAAACATATTTTCCACAGCATATCAGTTATGAACAATCAAGAAAAATGGAGAAAAGTATTATTGTGTGTTTGTGTAATCCCTCTATAAGTGTCTAAATGGCTGGTCATACTGCTGTATTGACCCTATTCCTCCCATTGTGAAGTGTAACTTGGCCCATCCCTGCTTCCTCCCAGCTGTTCCAGGAGGGCTGGAGGGGCGGAAATGCTGGCAAGGATGGGTTAGCTCCTGACAGATTCATTTTAAGGATATGATTAGCTTTTCAGGATATGTGGTAGTTATTTTCATCCCATAACATTTTCTTACTGAACGTTCAGACTGCATGCATTGGAGCAAGGCCAGAAACAGGGGCAGGGGGTAGGTGCTGTTTAAAGCCACACCCCTCAATGAGTGAGGGTCATTAAGGCTGTTTGGTGGAAAGTCATCCATAAATAAGTCAATGGAAAAAAGTTATTACACGAAAGCAGTAGCTTCATTTTTCAATTACCTGCCAATTCTTAATAATCTGCTGAACATGAATAGAGTGTGATAAATTAATATTTTTTTAATTAATATTAATAGTAAAGTTAATAAAGTTATTAAAGTTGGTGATTGAGTAGTATTTCCTTCAGTTAAGCTCAGTTAGGCCTTTAAAAAAAACTCACTTAATCCTCAAAACAATGAGTAGATTTCTCAGTTGCTAATATAATCAATAGTGACAGCCCTTAATGTGCCGTCGACACACAGTTTTTCAAACTGATCCTTAATGACTCATGTTGACGGCCTTGAATGCTTTACCATATGCTGAAGCGAATGTGCCATTGGACTGTGGAAAGGCTGGACCGGTGGTCTGTGACCTTCATGACCCTGTCACATGCGTGGGCCTATCACATTGCACTGACTGTAATCTTCTGAATTCCTGATGCCATAGTGCAGTGAATGAGGGCAGCTCCAGGCTTACTGAGCAGCAGCACCTTTATTTAGATAATCATATAGCTCTCTTAAAATTTGCTTTCTCTTGACATGCTCATAAACACATGAGTATATTTGTTTATCTACTGTACTCAAACTCAGTCTAGTGACTGTGATTGTGATTATGTGTGTGTCTGAGTCAACCAATAGTTAGCTAATTGCCTTGTTTTTAAATGACCAACATCTATCTTCTTTCAAGCTAGATTGACAAAAAACAGCATTGTCTGTTTAGGCCAGGCCGGGGGTGTCAGACTCTACAGATTTATTGTTAGCCTTGATTTAACACATCCTTCAACTCCTCGGGCTTTTGAGTGGTCTGCATGGTGGTCTCACCATCTATACAGTAAGAAATAGAACCAGATTGACACACCCATTTACAGCACTGCGCAAAACTCAGAACCTTCCATTAATTTAATTACTAGTCGAAACAGAAATTAAGTGTAAGTTATTCATTTCTCACAGTAGAAACTAAAAACTGATCATGCATTTAATCATCAAAATACTTTGTACGTTACTAATGTAGTTAATAGTGAACATGGTGTAGGCTGTCTGACACAGGTTGTATCAACTGCACCAAATCCTGGGCTGCACATTTTTAAAGCTGTGCTCTAGTCATTAGTTCAGATTTAAATGGCTCTTGTGAAACGGTGCAAGATATCATCTTAAACCCTAATGGCTCATATGTAGGTCCGCAATTCAGTTTCTAAATCTCACTTGTATGTTAATTTCTTAGTAGTTCCCAAATAAATTGTAGTAATTATTAAATAATATGTCTTAAGATTAATAACTCCATAATAAGTCTAAGGTTCAAGGAGTTGAAAGGTTTTGGTGATGCATTGCAGCCACAGTGTGATATTAAGCAGGGTAAGCTGAGATTTAACAGACATTAAAAGTCCCTCTCATGTCCCACAGGCTGTGCGTCTGAAGGGTTCAAGCTCAGCTGCCAATGAAAACACAAGCAAGGCTGCAGCCGAGGATGAGGAAGGATTAGGCTCAGTCTGAGCTGAGAGTTTACATGCTTTTAAGATACTAACGTGACCATTTGTTCACTAATGTACTTCTTATTTCCAAGGATTAGACCTCAAGCAGTCTAAGTTGGGTTAAGATTTTATCAGGGTTTATACTGTCTTGATTTTATCAGGCTGTTCTGATGCTCCTTATTATATTCTTTTGTTTTCAATGGGCAAAAGATTTGATGTAGGCCTGTACAATATATTGTTTGTAATTTGTTTCGTGATATTAGACTTTGCAACACTGATAGGGTACACCCTTCTTCTTTACTCACTGAGCAGTGCTGCTGCTGTTTTTGAACTGGTGTAAAGAGAAACATGTTTAAAACCGAGAGAAAGAAACAGGCTACTGCAAACGCATTACAGCAGTATGAAATCATAGTGTGTTCACCACACTGTAAAATTAGTATTTTGCAGTAGCCCAAAAAGCCAAAAGGTATAGGTTAAAGGGGAACTCCAAAATTCAACATTATTAAATGGTTAAGATGAAAACAAAATCAATCGGTGTGGCTTGATGTGAGATGCTCCATTCTAAAGAAACTTGCCAAGTCAGAATTGTTTTTATATGATAGTTTTGTGATAAAGTTTTGGCTTAAAATATGTTTTGATCCATTCATGGTGGAGGTATACATGCAGAATGTTATAAGGCAAAATAGCCCCCAAAGAAAACTTATTGTTTCAGATTTATGACTATTTTGCCATCATCAACATTATTTATAAAACTCAAAAGACAAGTGTTCACTGGTGGTTTTTATAGTAAATAAAATGGCTATATTTGTGTTGTAGGCATCGTGACCCCTGGTTCCTATTACCACCACTGTAAAGAAATCAGAGTCCGTAAGTTTATCTTTGTTTACATCTCAAGGGCTGAATTTTTCAGAATTTTTGAGAAAATCAGATATGAAGCAGTTTGATTGCTCGGTATTAACTGATAAAAAGTAAATGGTTACTGGAGGCATAATGATGATATTTTATTGTTGCTGTGATAAATTTTATTATAGTGATACACAATATGTTTTTCTGAGCATAGATTGGTATTGTGAAGTCTTAAAGAACACAGACCATCTGCATGTTTATTTAAAAAGGGGACATAATTAGTTCTGTCGGTTAGCTTTTAGTGCAGTACAGAATGTAAAACGTTGAATAGAAGTCATTGTATCCAGAGTTTTTAATGGCCATTTTTAACTGTGACACCTCTAGTGCATTGTGTCTGTGTATTGTAATATGTATCATGTATCATGAAAACGTCTTTAGGTATCATATTTTTGCCATATCTGCAACATCTGTTAACCAAATAATCAGATCAAGTCAATATTCAACACATAGTAAAACAGTCATTAAAAAGATGAAAAACAAATCAGTACAGAATGTTGTATTATGTATATACTAAAAAAAATACTGTAGTATTAATTGACAGTCTAGCATATCTAAATAAGTGGCTATATTGTCTCTGAAAATATCAAGATCAGATTGGTATCTGGATTGAATCATGTGGAAAAGGAAAAGATAGTGGCATTCCCAGTGGTAACAGTAGTAATAATAATAATAATATGATTATTGACCATAATAAACTTGTGGTGGCATAATTACGATGGCACACAAAAAGAACCATTTTCTGAACTGCAAAGGACACAGCATCCTTTGAGTTGTCATGGCTCTATGTGTCATAGTTACTTTCACTAGAGAACCCTTAAAAAAATCCCTTTTCACAAGTGTACCTTGCAAAGCTTTACAGCCTTTTAATTTCATCTTAACTTTCCTGTGCCAGGGAGAATGTTGTACGTTTTGGAGAATACTGCAGCTCAGTATGAGAGAATGTCAGTGGTGTGAGGGTTTTTTCTGGGTGTGAAATGGCAGCGAGCTCTCGTCACATTTTCAGCACACAGTGCTGTATCATTCACTGAGACTCTGGCTGCCGTCTGAGCTGTCTCACTCGACTGCTATGCTGAGCCCAAACATGATCAAATGAGCAGGAGAAGGAAGAGAGAGAAAGAGAGGGGGAGAAAATCTCTCTGAAGAGATGCCTCACCCTGAAGGTGTGTGCCCAGTGTCACAGTGCTGCACCATCGTCGTGCTGATCCCTCTCTGTCTTTTATCTCTCTCTCCCTCTCTCTCTCTCCCCCCCAACCTCAGTACTCATCATCCCCCACTCCTGCCTATGAAATGCCACAGATGAGAGCGTGAATTTTATTTTTTTAATTTATTTATTTTGGTGATGAACTCCTTTTTGACGCTGTGCCCTTTGGTGACTTCTCGATGCGGAGCCTCTGAAGAAGCCTGATATTTTTCAGGGGATTTTCAAGGGCTTTTAAGTTTGCCTGCGTCTTGTTTTTGATCACATATTTATGTCTCAAGCGCAAGCACAAACAAGCGGAGTTTTGATGGACGGCTGCACGTTATGCCTCAAGGAATGAAAAAGAAAAACTAAAACTAAAATATCCAGCCATGATTAGGACGCTGTGACGAAGTGTCATTCAGCAGCCAGACAAACTGCATCGCAGTGCTTGTGTTTTATGTCATGAATCCGGGTGGGGGATGTGCCAGCTTTTCAATTAAACATAACCCCACATCAAACGTGCTGTCAACATGCATTAGAGGGCCTTTGTACAGATGAGAGTGCGCGAGACATCACAGACTGGGGGCCTCCAAAGGGATTTATTCGGACAGATTTTTCTAAACACCAAAATAAAGAAATTTGATGCTGCGTAGTGTTCTCCTGATCTCCCTCCATCTTCTTTTATTCCCCCATCACCAAACTGTTTTTGTGTGGTTGCGTTGTTATGGTCGGAGTTGTCAGGAGCTCTACTGTAGGCTTCCTCTGCCTCAGCCTCTCTTTGTTTGGCATGCCATTATTTTATTAACTGGAAAATATGTTTGGCTGTTTTGGCCCAGGAGTGCGATGTGGGAAAATCTACTGTGTACTGTAAATAAAAGCTGACAAGGACATTGGCTGTGGTATGTATCGCCTGTCACGCAGGAACCAATCCCTTTTTCTGTAATTTGCGTCCTTCCCTGCACTTCGCTCTGCATCTGTCCTTAAAAGTGCTGCGCGGGGAGCCTGGCTGTAGAAATAGGTCATTAGTGAGTGAGGGAGAGAGCTAGAGAGCGAGAGCAGCCGAGGCAAAGAGCTCAGAGAACCCTAGCATTAAATATGGATGAGGCCGATTTATATTGCTCTGCCAACCTGCACCGTGACTTCAAGTGCACCACGACTTCCATCGTGATTACGCCCTGCTCGCTCTGTGTGTGCACACATGCATGCCTCTGTCTGGGGAGATGTGTTGATCAAGGGCTTCAAATGATTAGAAGAGTTCTACTGCAGCATCCATCTTTGTGAAAGGATCTGGAGCGCTGTGCATTCGTTTTAGAACGGCGGTTTGTTTACAGCTGGTTTGTGTAGACATAGATGGCCTGAATGCACCTAGTTCATTACATGGTACGGGAAGCAGTTGTAACGATGGCTCTGGACGGTTAAAATTGAGTGGAGGAGCCAGTGGCGGAAGTCGACTCCATAAAAACCCGGAGTTGTGCATCGCTCAGTAGGGCTACTGGAATAAGTTGCGCTCTTGCTTCCTCATGTATACAATTCAAAATCAGTCCTAAAGTTGAATGAAAAGCCCACCTATTCTAATATCAGTTATTTGTTGAAAATTAACTTTTTAAATGAAAGCATTGGTCAAAGATTTATGTCTGACTGATTAACAGTTAACTGTCATTAACGTCCCTAGTGCTTTTTCTTTCTTTGGGTTGGCAAATACATGTAAAACAGGAAACACATTAAATGAGACATGAAAGTAGCAAAAGTCTCATTTCTGGCTTCTCTACTAGGTGCTGTAACACCTTTAGAGGGCGGCAGTGAGGAATGTCTGTTTATTTGAGCTTGTGTTTTTAAGAGCTGATAAGTATCAGCAGCTGGAAATCAAGATTTTTGTGATTCTATGATGATGATTCGTCACTTTGCGCTTGTTAAAAAAGACATTGCTATTTGCAATTAATTATATGTAAATTTATCATCAGCTAAAATGTGGTCATTATGACAGGCCTAGATGACTTGTTTGTTGTACTCCACAAGCGTTGAACCATTTAGGCGACACTGCGCTAATATGTCTGCATTTTATCGTTTTCCTGCTTTTGAGCCCTTTACAAATAAATGTAACATTTCTCTGTATTTTTCGTATGTTGCAACACAAATCACGTCTGCAGTATGTAGCAGTAAAATCGCAGAGTGCTGTTTTGTACAAATCATGCAGCCCTGATTATTGTATACTTTGTGTTTGTGTGTCAGCGGCGCTTCAGGAGCAGGGGGGATGAACCGTGAGGAGGCCCCCGGAAAGTCTCCTGAGGAGATGTACATTCAGCAGAAGGTGCGGGTGCTCCTCATGTTGAAGAAGATGGGATCAAATGTAAGTGTCTTAAAAATCAGTGCAGACAAGCTCATTACCATCGTATTGTTACCTTCCATAGTTTATGTACAGTCATACTGTCTGTGTCAGAAAGAGCATCACATCCAGTAAATGCTAAACATCTTAAAGCCGTGCTTTGGGTTGTTTATTTGGCAGCGTTCATTCTTGTCCCACCCTTACAGCTGACACCAAATGAGGAAGCGTTCCTGCGGAACTATGCAGGCGTGGTGCACAGTCAGATGAGCCAGCTCCCACAGCACAACATTGACCAGGGTAAGAGGCTGTTCACAGGCCAGTCCAGCTTTCAGACTAGACTAGGCTCATCTGCCACAGCTGCACACCTGCTACTCTCATTCACTCACACTGGCTCAGGATGTAGGACTAAAGGGGAATTCCACCAATTTTTCCAAATCTCTGCCTTATTAAGCTCTGAGATTATAAACAAAGTAATTCAGTGTGGTTTAAAGTGAAATGGTTTACTGTTGAAAACTGATCAGCTCTGTTTCTTTGCAGTGGTGGTGATATGAGCCAGGGGTCACAATGTCTACAGCATAAATATAGTTATTTTAATTACTTTCCAAAACCACCAGTGATCCTACATGTGTCTTCTGAGTATTTATATGTAATGTTTAAAATGGTGAAATTTTGAGCTGAAGAAAGTTTTCATACTCTTCATGTACCTCTCCACCATGTATGGATTTAAAAAATATATACTTTAGGCTAAAACTTTGTCTTAAAAGTATTGTAAAACCATGTCTCAGGCATCAAGCAGAGTATTTGTATCCATTTAATATAAGAACTTTCTGTGAGGGAACTCTTAACATATGACATAACTCTTTGAATGTCTGGTTCCTATCACTACTGTTATGAACAACTCTGACTTGGTAGATTTCTCCTGATTGAAGCATTTTACACCAAATACACAAATGACTTTGTTTACATTTTAATGATTATGTTTTTCAGACATTTTGAGAAATTTGTGAAACTCCCCTTTAAGCACACTAAGGAGTGTTTAAGCAAGTTATTTATTTTTATTTTATTTATTTCAAGGCTGTCAACACTTAATAATTAATCATATTTTCTTACGTAGCTAAATTGAGAAAAATCACATATGTCTGACTTGCTCAAATTACTCAGGCCCTAAAGAAAAATTGTTTTAATTTAATAAACAGTGCATTCTTTTATAGCTCCATGAGTATATAAAATAAGCTTGTATATATGTATGTATATATATATATATATGTGTATGTATGTATGTATGTATATATATATATATATATATATATATATATATATATATATATATATATACACACACACACACACACACAGTTGTTCCAATTTTTTTGTGATTGTAACTTCATACAGTTTGTGGATTCTTGTTACAACAGACGCTCTTGAGACGAGTATTATGTTCATAGTATATTTTTCTTGCTTTGTTCTTGCACTGTCCAGGCTGCTGAATTCCTGATAATGCCAGCATCAGCACTGTGTTTTGCTTGTAAATGATGCTTCAGACTCGATATATTTTATTGATGAATAAATTCATCATTGCAGTAGTTGGAAATCAGCAGAGAGATCAAGAGCAATCAACAGAACTAGCTGGGCTTCAGACTTGACAACTCTGGATCATTTGAAGGGTCAAACTTAAGAAAATGCTTTTTTTAGGTGCAAAAAAAATTAGTGGCATTAATAATTTAGTACAACTGCTCAATATTAACACAAACTTTGACAGCAACAATTTACTAATTTTTTGTTTACCCTGTGCTGTGAAAAGTATTTTCAATAGTATGACTCATTCAGTAGATTTTTAGCATTTCACTAAAGCTTATTTTCATTTTTTTTCCCCCAACTAGAACTGTGACCTTGAATATGTGAGAGGTGCTGTATAAATGGGAGAAATTAATCATTTATTCCTTTCTAATGTATAATGAATAGAAAACACACGCAGCAGTTATTACCATTAGAACAGATATAGCATTTAGTAAACACCCAGAGGGCAATGTCATGGGAAATAAGCACACTGAGATTCTATAAATATTTTCTTTTGCAGAATCAGTGTTAAAATGTGCAACGATAATGCCTTCCTTTATTTCCCCCTGCTGCATGGTTACTCTGCCTTCTCAACACCAGGGGGTGCCAAAGCAGTAGGAATGTGTGTACTTTCAGCTGCAAAACAAGTCCATACATGCAGACCACTGCAGCCATTAGTGCTCACTTGGACCCCCCACTCGTTGTAAATCAACTTCAGCGGGCAGTTGTCCAGCCTCTTCTCTCTCCACTTACTGCCCATTCAACACTCTGGTTGGCTCTCTATTGTCTAAGCATGATTTGTCTCTCTGGCTGTGTATGAAACCCATGTGTTAAATAGACGCATCTGTTTTCACACGTTCATAACGAAAAGGAGCCGGTTTGTTCTGTTTGAAAGTGGTTTTATTCCACTGTGCTTTGGAGATAAATGGTGTCTTGCGTACAGAATGCAAGGCCTATGGAATAGCTGCTTTAAGCTCATGAAATATGCATACGCACCTAGCTGTTCATAAGCAAAGATGTCAACACTGTGCTCTTTTTAGAAAGATCTTCATAAATAATGCACTGGCATGAGTAAGGTGGATATAAATGTGCATTTCAGATCAGCTTTTGCTGTTGAGCATCGCTCGAGACAGCTTGTTTTCACATTATGTCTGTGTTGGCACTGAGCACTAACGAAACAGAGAATATTAAAGGTAGTTACCACAAAGATATTAAATGAATACTGTTGGATAAGGGGGGGTCGCGGTGGGGTGCTGGAGCCTATCCCAGCTGTCATTGGGCGGAAGGCCACCGCGACCCAGAAGGATAAGCGGTTTAGATGATGGATGGATGGATGTTGGATAAGGGAGGATTCTCTTATGCTGTGATGTCTGAAGATGAAGGACTGGCTTATCTATCTATCTATCCATCCATCCATCCATCCATCTATTTATTAGTGGCAGCTTATTGACTTTGACTTTAAACCTGAAGCTGACTTGCTACTTAAAAGTACTGGAAATGTGTTAGTGTGCTTCATATCTCCAAAGTTGCAATATTAATAACATTTATTTAATGGGCCAAACTGACCTTTTAAATTGATAAATGAAAAATCAGTCGCCTGTTTAAATACTTCATTCACTTTTTTATTTCTTTTCTTAATTAATTAATTATTTATTTATTCATTTATTATATTTTATTTACTAGGGCTACAACAATATTAGTGTTGTGGGCTGAGAGCAATATTCAGTATTTTTCAACTGCAACACTGATCGACCAAAATCAAAATAATTATTTGGCCGTGTTTGAAGCAAAAATCTGCCACATCTGACCACGGCTGATTCGAGTCATACATCCCATATCCCATCCAAGCATAATATTAATATTACATATATCAAATGACAAAGATGTTGATCTATACACACCCTACACGGTGCACATCTTAAATTTCTGGCCCTTTAGTCACATATTAAGTAGCCATTTGTGAAATTACTAAAATCACCCTGGTGATTTCTTAGTCTGTTCAATTGTCTTGTTTATCTGGAAATCATACAGCAGTGGCCTTTATAGCCCAACTAAATTATTCACTTTCGCAGTTCCCTCCCACATACAGCCACCACGCCTGAATGGAGTGTAGCGGCACACTGTTGCTGTACAGGGTCACAAGTAGTGTTTACATTTACCTGTCTGTGGAGCGGCACGTCAGACATTAGTCACTCAGCCATTAAAAGAAGCTGTCACAAATCTCTGACCGTGTGGAGCTTAAAATAACGCCTGTGCTTAAAATGGTGGTGGGCTGCTGAGGTGAGTATGATGTGCTGATTGGAGAAAGAGCTTTCACTCAGGGCTCTGAGACTACACTGATCTCCATGTCCATACATTTACATGTCCATACATGTCCTCTGAGACTACACTGATCTCTATGTCCATACATTTGGAGTTTATAGGATTTATTGTATAAGAATGTTTACTATTTTTATGCTGCTGCCCAGAACTGACATTCTGTGTTTCATAGTGCTCATGTATCAGGCAGTACTGTTGAGCAGAATCTTAACAGCGGTAGAGAAATTATTAAAGTGCTCTGCGTTGTGTGCTGCTCCTGTGAATCACGAGCATAGTACAAAAACGACTACCGCTGGCTTATTTCAACATTGCAGCCCTCTTTAGACGTATTACAGCTGCAAACACAAAAACGTTACTTCTGTTTAGAAATATTAGTGCCCTACTGTTTTCCTGGGAAAATGAAAGCAGTGTCTCCGTGCTTAATGAGAGCCGGATAAAGACTAGAAGTTCATTTGCGGCAGACACAGTGAGTCGTTTGTATGTGTAGAACAGAATGGGCCAGGGCTCCAGAGACAGGCCGCTGGGGCTGCCTCTTTCAGGCTCTGTTCAGCTATTGTTCTCTCATGTGAACAAACAGTTGTGAAAGAGATTGTGTGTGCGAGAGGGAAATAGGGTTTCAGCATTCCGCAGCTTTGTCATCTTTTGTACTGGTCAAATTTCACTTTCAGACCTTGACAAGTGTGAAATTAGGGAAATGTTTACCAGCTAAGCTGACAAACTACTTCTGAAAACAATTCGTCTGACTGACTTGAAAGAGCATTCCAAAAACTGCCCATTTTGACTGTTTACAAATATATGGGTTAACAAATTTGCATTTGAGCGCATTTAATTGGCTAATTAGCATATATGTGAATTATGTATTTTTTTCCACTGCATTTTTAATTGATTCTGGAGCCTTGAAGTTTTAGGGATTAAACGGGTTAGAGGATTCAGATGGGAGGATGGTGGGTGGAGGAGGTCTTTTGAGCTATGTAAAAATGTATGAAGGTCTGGGCTGGTAGAAAGCTCCATACTGACTCGGGTCTTGTAAAAATGGGGATAAACTGGATGGTCAGCTTTATTCTGTAATTAACATATTCTGTAATTAAGTAAGTATGGGTATTAATTTAAATACACAAATATTTACAAATTCTAAAAGGCCCATATAATGGATTGTTTTTCTTGAAATATGTAAACACTGTTATATGCTTAAAACTCCAGTCCACATATATGAAGACAATGTTGTAAAAAAAAATAGCCCATATTAAATATATTCTTTTTGTGATTGTCATAAAATTGAAGGCAATGGCATACCCACCTCTTGAACCTACAGCAATTTAGCTCCATCCATTCACATTGAAGTTATAAGGAGTGTTTCAGCCTGCACTGCTTTTTGAACAAGGCAGAATACATGACAGCCAATCACAACAGAGATCATTTAC